ACGAGTATGAGAGAGAGAGAGAGAGAGAGAGAGAGAGAGACAGACAGAGAATATAAAATCAAACAACTTTTTGGAGACAGAAGAATCATAACAAGATTAGAGATACAATTTTTAAACAGCACAATTTGTGACAGAGTCAGTACTTTAGCCAAACAAACGAGTTTTTCTGAATACAATTTTGTTTAATTTAAGTCATCACACAGACTAAAACCTGCAGACCACTTTCAATGGCAGCTACCCAAAACAGGAATATGTCAATTATTATCCACTGCCTTACAAATAATTTGATTATTTAATACAACCATTTGTTTGACATATTATCAATTAAATGTTAAAAACAACTAAGGAATCAAAATGAGCAGTGAATATTTTTACTTTCAAGTCTTGTGCTGGTTATTAAGTAGTGCTGCTGTTTTCTTCTGATTTGTTCAGGTTTGTAGAACAAAGATTTCCCCTCCTAATTACTGCACAGATACAATTTAAGACCTTTATCATGGTTGGCATGTGAAATGCATTATTGTAAATGGTACATTTTACCGAGCCACCTAAACTGGAGCTAATTACTTTGCCTGCTTGCCAATGAACCTGAATAAAACAGTTGTTTATTATATTTGAAACACGTGTTTTTCCCACAATGGTAAGCACAAATGTCTGCTATGGAAAAAAGCTATTAACACATTTTGACCACCTGGGAGACCCCCCCCCCAAAAAAAAAACAATGGCCTAATTGTTACAGTGTGTGCTTATGTGAAAAAAATTTTCTCAACTGAACAGTTCCATCTACTCAGATGTCCTATCCTTAGAAATCACCAGGAACTGTAGCTGAATATTCAAAAATGTCATGACCACTGTTTGTATGAAAAACAATCTGAAATGGTTGGTGGCATTTCTGATTAAACAGCAACCTAACATCATGTGGAGAATTCGAAAAAGACAATTAAGAGACTCAATTAAAACAGTGCAATGAGGTGATCTCTCACTCACTTTCCTGAAGCATGTGAAACCCACAGAAAATGTAAAAAAATGAACAAATGTTTAAATTTATTGACCAGTTTTTTTTTTTACTGCATTTCAATTCTTTACTGCATAAGAGGAAGCAAATGCATGCAAGCCAGGATTTCTTTCAACATTCTATTTGAATTAAATCCTGTTTGTTCTCTGCTACCATTCACCTGGCTAACAAAGCTTTAAGAGATCTTACCAGTAGGTGCTGATCTGTTTGCACACCCGCCTTATCATCGCGTATGTGGAATAAAATTTCAAGTTCAAGTTTTAAATCAGTTACGTTCCTCTGTTAGCAAATAAATCTCCATATTAGATGCAAAAAGTGGTACTTTAATTTGATCCTACATATGATTTATCTTTTTTACATTTATAAGCAGGTTCACATTAAGTAATTTGGGGCAGTAGCATCACCCGTCCAACACATGTGAGATCGACTTTTTACACACCCTTGTTCCCTTACACGACACCTCTTACTGTACATAGATTGCTGTTATTAAGGGTTTGTATTAAATTGTACAATCTTGTGGAAACTTGTGCACTCCACACATGTCTTAAGAAAATAAATAATTTTGTGTGCATCAGTATTGATAAAAAGGATCCCTTTGGGCACTCAAGTGATCTAAAAAAAGGATGCCTCTACTTCACATTAGTTTACCTGAGCAACTATACCAACGTTGTTGTCTCTACGTCCTTAAAATGTACGCACACATTTGTCATACTTGGGTGCAAAAGTGTGGCTTAACGTCAACGAAAACTGCAGCTGAAGGTTACGCCGAACTGAGTTTCCAGTCCACCCATGGCAAGACTACTGAATAAATTAACTTGAAAGCAGAGCTCGAATCATTCATAACATGAAGCAACAGCAGCTATACGGCAAGAGCATTCAGGCTGGAAAAGAATAGAACTGCACTCAACTTTTAACACGTTGAATCAGAAGAATAATTCAAACCCATGAGCTGGCATTTCATGTTGGCAAAGTCATGCCAACGTCCACAAAAAGGAAGAACAGGTTTAAGGGGGAAAAAAAATGTCTGAGTCTGTGAGCAAAAAGGCATTGAGACGCTCCCACAAAAAGCCCAACAACAGCACAATGCTGGAAGTAGTCCATGACCAGATGAGACAGGTTCAAGACCATGCCCGGTGTCAGGTCTGTCTCAAGATTCAATATGCCAAGGAGTGTGACATTGGGACTGCAGTCATTCAGTGACATCCCAGATTTCAGAGAGCAGCGGGGGAAGCTTCTTGTCCTGAAGACGAAGGGCAAACACCTGTTCAGAGTGCACGCTGCTCAGTGTACGAAGGCTCACCAGCTTCATCAGCATGCGTGGAAACATCAAGTGATCCTGAGAAAACAAATCACAAGATACATTTTGTATATTTAAAAAAAAAAAAAAAAAAAAAAGGTCCAAATAATCCCAACAATGATTGCTGTTCATAGTAAAGCCAGGAATTCAGATATTAGTTAACTCAGAAAACAGTTTCCTGCACTTTTACACATGGTCATAAATAGAACATCTCAATAACTATGAACATTTGTGGATGAGGTGTGTCAAAGGGCAATTAACAAACCATGAGAGCTTGGTCTAGCTCCAGAGTGGTTGCAGAATCTTCGGATTTGCCACTGTAGAATTCATGTATCAACCACATTGTAAAACAGTTTACCAATCCAATTTATAGTACTGGGGTGGAACATGAACAACCACAACTTGCCATTGTTTAAATGTCAAACCAACAATCAGTTTTGGGGTCCCTAGCGCGAGTCTAGTGCAAAGCACAGTCTACCTGTGCGCACAGCAGGTTTCTTTCTTTTGGTATTTACCTAGACTTGCAAAGGTCGAAGAAAGCTTTTGCGCGAATGTGCGGTGTTGAACTTGTAGGATGGAATGCAGCCGACTACCAGCCAATCTAAAGGGGTCCCCTCATGAACTTTAAAATCAGGGAGGTCGGAGCACACACAGTTCTTGACATTGCAGAAGCAGAAATTTACTCGCTCGAGTAAATTTCTGTGTATAACAATGTTGCATACAAAGTGCATTTTGTACAGATAAACTGCAATATGTCCCCTTGCAGATGATGTAGTCGGCACCCCCGATTGTTTGTCCGTGTGTGACCCCGCGCCACCCCCATAGCTGTGTGGTGTGATCACGGGGGTGGTTTTTAAGGTGATTATAATCATTTGCTCAATTAATTGATTTTGATAATGATTCAGAGGGATTGTACCGTGCTGCTGTTATATTTATGTAATCGTTACCATGACGTCCACCATACATGAATCTATCTGCCTGTACCTCAATCAAATCCACCAAAATCGTGTTACACCACCACCACCACCTAGCTTATAGTGGGTCTAAAATATAGTCTACTTTTTGTTACAACATTTGCAGATGTGTTGAGGGCGCAGCAGCTCCATCTGCCAGATCACCCAGTGGGGCACAATGCAGTCCCACACACAGTAAAAGACTTGCTCTGACACACAAAAAAAAAAGAGGACCAGTTTTTACGCTGACCGCATCAGCACCAGTGTACGAAAATAGGGGTCTTTGTGTTAGTTAATTTATATATTAATCTATTGTCTAGCAAAACAAGCAGACTGTATTTTGGCAAAAATTGTGTTGTCAGCAAAATATCTGCAAACTGACAAATAGCAATCTACTGGTTTGAAGTGGACAAGTGTATTATTATGATTTTTATTATTTCTTAATTAAAAACACCTGCTTGTGTAGGCTTTTGTTATCATGTGTTAGTGTGTAAGAGAAGGTTTGAGGGTGTAATCCAATGCATACAAAAGTTACCTCGGCCATGACCCAATGTGCTTGTTGTGATGACAACAACAAGGTCATGTTGACACACAGTGTGAAACAAGAGAAGAGGTTACATAAACAGGTGGGCACTTACATTTGGTCTCTTTATCGTGATGTAAGAGCGCAGAGCGTCAACATAAGGTTGTTGCAGCCTCTCCACAAGATCATGATCTTGCACATTTGGCCGATCTAAAAATGTGTAGAAGCAAAACAAACACAAAACACATTCACTATGTCTGCCAGATGGAAAAGAACAATCATGAACATAACTATAAAAACACATTTTGCTTTGCCGCACTCCTTAATAGTTAATATTTTTCGTCAGAATGAAATCTGACCTGCAGAAAATATGTTGATGGCAATAAGCAGTGCGTATTCAGCCTCGTCCAGCTGCAGGTCATTCATTCCTTTAGAAAACTCAAAGATGGGATTAATGAACTCAAACTGAAGGCCTGTTGAGAAGAGAGGGATAGAAACAAAAGAAGAAATAAGATTTATTTCAGACTTCTGAAAAATTACTGACAAATAATGTTACACGTGCATCTTAAATATTTCTGTAGGAAAGAACCTTTCTGAGTTTAAGTGACAAAACAGTTTCTTAATTTCAATACCGGTACTTTGCCTCTAATAGAGTAATGCTTCAATTTGCACGAGAACCTATTGCTATTTGTATCCTTCTTACACTATTAACTCTGTATGTAGGGTGATAAAGACTCATAATAATTTATCATACATTGTCCATAAAAACCCATTAAAATGTACCTGCTTTTGCGAAATCCTCCTTATTATAACTAAAATCCTTCAGAAACGTAATGCTGTCAATGGCAGGGTTGTATCGACGAGATGTCTCCAGCAGCATAATCTGTTGAAGACAAACATCATTGTTTATTTCATATTGTAATGAAGACATACACACAAAGTCAATATACTGGCAATAACTGATTACACAGCAATACTGAACTGGGCAATTCTCCTGTCACAGGCTACAGATATGATGAATTGTAATGTGTTTGATTCATAACCCCTAACCAATTATGTGACACAAAATGCTGATTAGAAATAATGTCTTGTATCCAGAGGAAAACAAACATTTCATAACTTGGAGCTACATTAACAGCATTTAAAGTAGAAACATGACAAACTTCGATGGTTGACGTCTTCAAGAGAGCGATCTGGTCCTCTCTTGTCAGCTCTAAAAATCCCGGAAGCTGCTTAGCAAAATCCACGATCTCCTGGACCGACATGATCGCCAGCTCAGTGAAGTGGGCGAAACGCTGCTGACGCACTTCTCGATTCTGTAGATCCTGATTCTGCGGCCATGGCTGTGGTTGTTGTTTTTAAACACACACAAGAGCAGTCATCATGCTTAGTCATACACACACACCCACGTGCTTATATAGTGGACCCCGCATGCTCGTGGTTCTGGACCTGCGGATTCACGGATATTTTTTTTCAATGTTAAAAAAAAAAGGATCGAATGTTTCTTGCCGTTCTATACATGTGAAAGGGCATCAATTATAAGTGGATTTTTTTTTTTCTATTCGCAGGTCGATCAGGTTCCTATCACCCGTGAATAGCGGACTCAACTGTAAAATGTTTCTACAACATGACATTTGACATCACATCATACTATCGTTAGAATTTTTGTTTGATAGCAACACTGGGATGATCAGAGTATAACATTTACATTTTTCTTCATCAAATGCTGCACTATTACATGACATACACAGTACTGTAGATCATAATACGGAAGAGGAGGGGAAAAGCCATCGTTTGTGGTACCCATTTAGGATTGGGGGCTTTACATTTTAAACATTAGATCGTGTTAAGCCTCATTCGGAATCTGTCAGAAGGGTTTTGGACTAGCACGAGTCACAACATTTGGTAGCCCGCAGCTGCAATGCACGATGGCAATGAAGCCGGAGGAAAGTTGGAGTTAAGAGGACTCGTCATGTTCAGCTATCACACTTGATGTCCTCGACACATGGAAAAATAATCCATAAGAATCCGGCAGAGCTGCCAACCTGGATACATTCACTTTCATAGCAAATTGTCATTAATTCCTTTTTTTAAATACATTTACCAAGTACTTTACCGCAGAAGCGTTTTTGCAGTATAGTATGGAATAGGATCAAAATAAAATAAATTATGTCTTCAGTATTTGTTATTGTATTGTATTTATCACATCAACTTTGATTCAAGCTGCAACTGTGTCCGTCATTACAAAGTATATAAGATTTTAACATGCCAAAAGTATCTGTCTATTTTCATTGAGGAGCAGTTTTATGAATCACTGACTTAATTTAAGTAGAAACGTTCGAATTTTGCAGACTTTTTGTAAAAGTTAATCCCAGGGACCTGAAGCATGGATTTTATAAAGAAGGAACAATTGTTTTCCCTTACTATCATCAACATTTTCATTTTTTTAAATACATAATGTGTACAGCAGCAAACTCTATAGACTCTGATTCTCAATTTTGCTGTTCAGTGTGTTTTAATGAGGCACAAAATCCAAATTCGCGAAACCACTTATTTGAGCCTTGTAATTAGCTTTTACCAACTGTTTTCAACAGAACAAGTCAAATAAATCGGATTAATCAGACCTCAAAAATTTAAATTTGAACTCAACACTCTTTTTTGCAAGCAAAAAAAAAAAAGGAAAATTGTTCAAACTGGATTGGACAGTTTAAGCACAGACAAACGTTTCTATTTTGTGCAATGTACTTCTTGTATAAATGTCTTCTCGAGCATCCTATTTTTGTATATCCTGTATCCAGGATTGCTGCTGAAATTATGCAAATTTCCCCATTGTGGGACTAATAAAGATTATTTTATACGATAAATGTTTACTACATTGATAGAAATGTAACCATGAAGGCCCCTCCTCTCAGTTGACGAATGCTGTGACGGCCTAATTAATTTCCTTTGTAGTTGTGCAGTATATTTTTTTCTTTCCCGACACTTATTAATTTGTCTGTTTTTTGCAGTTTAATGATAAAATACAAAACATCCTGATTTATAGCGCTTTCACAACAGCTGCGGCTGCAACAAAGCACTTTACAAAACAGCTACGGTTACTCTCCATTATAATGCAGTTCCAGACAGATGTATGTGACAAGTATACTGTATGTAGGTATCATATATTTCGGTGTTTTGTGATTTGATATCTGGTATGATAGCTTAGCAATTAGCATGGCTTCTCCTTTTTTTAATCCCTGTCCCCACTTTGTGATGATAAAGAGTCAGAAGTGTAGCTTATTCACTGCTATGAAGACGATGATTGGTGACTTGTGCTGCGTTGACACCGAATGTGAAACAAACTTGCAGCTCCGCCATGTGTTTAACTATGTCAATTAGCTAGCTGTAGCAAGTAGGGAGCTTGGACAATTAAAAAAAAAAAACACACCAAGCATTCCCTGATATGAACAGCAGGAAGCAGGGAGGTTGGGCAATTGTTTCATGTGGATGTGCAGGGTTTTTTTTGTTATGTTTTGTTTTTCCCAATATAGGCATTGTTCGGAAATTCACTCTGACACTAGTGCACGACTCTGAGCATGCCTGTGTTCGGAGAGACAGATCGTGCTCCTCCTGCGTTAATGGCTGAACGCAGCTTATGTTCTGATCTCAACCAATCACCAGCTCTTGCTTGAACTGTTTCAATCTGCACTGTCTGATGCACTGGACCATTGTGTCCATAGTTGGAGCACCTCGAGCGTGCATCAGCACTCAGTGTTTGGTGGACTCTGAATCACTAAACGGCCCATCGGGCAACGCTAGGAGTTTCTGAACGGTCTGAGTCAACGGTCTGAGTGAACCAGTGCACAAATCTACAAATGGCAATTTTATTGTGTTCTTTTATGAAATGTGTACTGGCCAGCGCCTTGGTGGCCTGACACAGCCCCATACTGGTCATCACAATGTCAGACACTGGATTTTAAAAATAAAAATAATAAAATAATAGTGTATACATTCAGTCTCCCCAGCCGGTGTGTGACCTTCTACATAAATGCAAGCAGCATGTGAGTGTCACTCAAGCATCAACCACTGTTTTGTTTAATTTTCCACAGTAAGTGATTTTTGAGAACAAATTACATTGTTGCAATAAAACACTGAAATATGAACTTACTGTCACTTTTGGTCGATCAAGAAAGGATCTCTTGTTGCATTGCTTCTGCATGGCCACCAGCTTCTCAATCATTTCTTGCTGCTGTGGATCCAATGAAGCTGCTTCCTGTGGAGGAGTGGGAGTGACCACTGTGGACGAGCGGGCCGTTTCCTCATCCTGCTGCTTCTTCATCTTCTTCAGACGAATTTGTTCTTCAGAGAGCACACCTATATTCCAAATGTGACAGTTTACAACTAATGCACAGTCAAAAAGCTGATAATTACCATACTATATTGCTAATATACAAAATACAGTGAAATTTCAGATTGATTTGGCTTCCAAACACTCACATTGTTCGAGCATGCCTGCCTCGCGACATTTGCGCAAGCGGCACTGCTGGCACTTGCGTCGCATGTACATGTCCATTTCACACCGTTGATTGTTCTTGCAAGAGTACTGAGCACTTTTAATGACACTACGTCGAAAAAAGCCCTTGCAGCCCTCACAGCTTAGAACATTGTAGTGGAATCCAGAGGCCTTGTCACCGCAGACACTGCACACCTCATTGCCCAGCATCTTCGGGGCAGGACCCTTCTTTCTCTTCACTGGCTGACCATCTATGTAGAATATATACATAAAATACAGGTGAAAAGCAGATAAATGTCTTTTTAACAAATCTATTTTGGGTAAAATTGAAAATTGCAGAAAAGAAAGAAACTAAACCCTTTTTTAATGATCAACTGACAATAATCAAAGCAAAACACCACTTTGTGGTGTTCCAATTAGTGTACACAAGTGTGCACACATTCGCACACAGACAGGCACGCGCTTTTGTTAAATCCACCTTGTGATTTTGAGCGACTGTGTGTGTGTGTGTGTGTGTGTGTGTGTGTGTGTGTGTGTGTGTGTGTGTGTGTCTCTCACCGGAAATGTATTTATGTTTTCCAGAGTTGAGTGGCCGTGTAGCTAACTAGATACTCCCATTTTACAGTACTAATGCAGGTTGGCTGTTCAGTTTTTAAAAATATTTTGTGGTCTCTGAATTTAAAGCAATGTAAAATACAAAATAATCAAACTTGACTGAAGACCGACTCTACAAATAAAATGCGTATAGAGGAACTATTTTTCATCCGTTATCGTTCACCTGTGCCAGTGGATGTGTCGCCCACATCAGGCTTGGTGTCACTCAGCTCAACTGGAAAAGGGCTGCTCATCCCAGTGGGAGCAGGACCATTATGAGGTGGGGCGGGGAAGTCATCTGGCTGGGACAGGTCACGGAGAGATAACAGGTTTTCATGCTTCATTGTGGCGCTGTCATTGCTCTCCTCCACCATGCAATGAAGTTGTAGCTCCGCAGCCCCATCAAATACTTTACTCTCATCTGACCGGTGGGACAAAACTGTCACTAATTTTCAGATCAAAGAATCAATTTTTATGCTTGAGCCTGTCAATTTTTAGTTTTTAAAAGAAGGAAAATTAGCAGCATATTATAATGCAGTCATCTTAGATTTATTTTTATTATTTATATTCCACAAAAGACCATGATGCTATTTTATCTTCAAAAAATTAAGGACAAATAACTTACCATGACCAACATCTGGGACATCAGTCACAGGCAGCGTTGACATCTTTTGAACAGCTGGTTGTCATAACGAAATCTATGTACCTATGTAAAAAAAAAAGAAGAAAAAAAAAAAGGAGGGGCGGGACTCAGTAATGACGGTTGGGTTGTACAATGTATTTCGTTAGTCGGCCATAGGTTTACATGCTGTAAGTAAAATATTAATTTTCTTTTTGAAACCGAAAGAAAATAAAGCGGAGTGCGAAAGAGATGCCTCATGCATCATTAATGATTAACTATTTTGTCAATACTGTAATGCAAAATTTCTCCATTTGAAAACATTCTAACAGCATGGTAATGCCGTGTCTTGACTATTGCTAGGCAAGTTACTTCCAAAATGAAACACATGGCACATTACTAGTTACTGTCCTTTGAAGGTGTTTTTGGCTTATACAACTGTGTTCACAGCATTAGGTGACACACAAATGCAATATACACCGATGCGTCAGACTGCCCGTAAATGTTGGTATTTTGCCCCTTTTTGGCAATAACACACAAACAAATAAATGAAAAATCAACCAATCAATAAATGAATAAAATACCTGTGCGGCCTGGTACTAAATGACACCGGTCGTTTGGGACCACTGCTCTCAAGTACAACCCAAATAGAAATAATCTTTGGCCACGATTATAAAGAGGCATGTAGAAAAGCAGAAATGAAAGTTGGTCATGTGCCACATATAGATGGATTCAGGAAACTCTTATCAGCAGACCCAGACATGATCTTTGCTATTTTGTCCAAAGCTTCAAGGAAAATGGGTTTAAAGTATAAATTAATTCTCAACATGTTGAAATGTGACTATAAGAATTATAATACAAACTGTTTCTCTGGAGCGTGCACAACTAGCTCAGATTAAGTCAATTAGGTGGAAAATCACTGTGAAAATCCCACTGAAAGCCCGGTATATCTTAATTTCTGTCATCTCTAAAAATCATACTAATATTGCAGTTTTTAACATTCTCTAAATAATATTACAGTAAAAATTCAGTAAGAGCAATGTGACAAAAATGTGCACATAATCTTACTTGGAGGAATGAAATGTTTTTGCTATGAACTTTTTTCATTCATGTGTCTGCCATGTATGACTTTTTTTTCTGCTGAATTTCAATTGAAAACTTTATAAAAGCCTAAGACAATTCACAAGCAGCGTTGTGTTCTGCGCCAGGACAAATGTCTGTTTTGTCATTTGTACCCACAAAGCTAAATAAAACCTTATAAGAAATAGGTCAACCGCAGTCAAACATGTCATGATCTTGTGCATAGCATAAACACTTAAATTATTGATTTTTCCACTACTACTTAAATGTGCATTTAACATAGCAATGCAATTGGCTAGTCACATCAGCAAGCAAGAATACCTTTTCCGCCATTATTAAAACCCAGTATGCAAACTGTGCCGTGACCCTCTTTGTTCATAAAGCATTCAAGTGTATCATTTTGGCAAAATGTTAACACTGTCAAGAGTCAGGCAAAACATCAAAAGGTGTTTGTTACATACTACGGGTAGATAAAAGATGGTTCCCTCAAAAGCAGGAAACTTTTGACAGATCAGGAGGACACCTTTTGCTTAAATGAGCCTGCATAAAATGACTCCCGAGACTGACCTTACCTCTGATGCTGATATCTTATTTATAGCCTAATGCGTGCAAGTCCATCACAGTCTCAGTCCATTGATAGCCTTGAAGGTGCAATACACTCTGACTTATTGGGCCCACGTTTGCTGACTTGATAAGAGCGAAGGGGAGAAGATGAGTTCCTTCCTACAAAGCTCTGTGGGAGACAAGAGGGAAAACAGGGTAAGGGGGAGGGAACACAAGAGGTCACTATTGGTCACTTGCATGGCTCTTCAATCCCCAGCAGTGCTCCAGTCCTTTCCTGTTGGAGCAGCCAATTTTTACAAAGACACACAAAACAGCAGACAAAAAATGATCAGCACCCCCTCGAACCACCTCTCTCAAATGAGTTCCACCAACACACGAAAACAAAGCTCACCTGCCTGAAATCCAGTTCACTCATAAAAATGTTGGACAATACTGTATTAACTCTCCAAATGACCGATAGCATTTAAATGCCATACATTTAAAAATGTTTTTAGTTAATGCACAATACCTATGTTAACCAATTTAGTAAGTTTATTTATAAAAACCTAGTCTTTTAGCTTATAAAACCTTTCTACTGCCTGTGACCTCATGTCATCATCCCCACCCTGATTTTCTGTTCCAAGTCCAATGTCCCTTGCATCTTATCAGGTCAGTCACCTTTTGTTTTCAGAGAGTCCTGGGAATTAAATATTTAAAACAAAATAATTACAGTAAAGGCATGTGTTTACATGTCAAATGTGACAAAAGTGGGGCAAACTCTGATATACAGGGGCACAGGACTCATGATCCACTGTGGTCACTACAACCACAGTTAACAGATTTTAGTTTCAAATATTGGAGCAATATATCCATTCCACTAGTGTTCATTAGGAGTTGTTTTTGTTATTTATGTTTTTTTTTGGGGGGGGGGGGTAATTGTCATGTTAATTGAGCACTTCATTGGATAGCCTGCAAATATTTAACCCAAGCCAAAATTTAACATGGTTAACCAATGGTTGACCTGAAGTAATGTCACGATTGTCAGAGATGTCTGTATTTTCTATACCTCACAATAACGCGTGTGAAACTATCAGAGGCATTTTCAATAGTTTGTTGTCTCATCAATAAGCAAATTGCAGCACACGGTTGTTAAACAAGCCGCTAATGTTTACAAAAACGGCATATCCTTTCATCATAGCCAACTACTATCGCTTTTAAATAACACTGTGGAACCTCAAAAGTTAAATGCATCAAAACTCAGAGGAATCTAACCAAAGTCTGATATGTTGTAGTAGGGCTGCACAATATATTGAAAAAGATCATCACCACAATAATGGCCAATGAAATATCCGTATCCTAAAGGCATGCAAGTTTCGTGTTTTTATCTGACTTTGACCAATCAGATGCAACCTTAAGAGGCAAAACTATCACTATATCACTTCAGCTATTATAATTAATTTGCTCGAGACTGAGCTTGCATATTTTGCTGCATGAAAAAAAATACTTTTTTCATTAAAATAATAAAAACATAATTTCTTCTTCACAAATAATGCAAATATTGCATAATTGTCCTGTATTGTCCTGTGACAGCCCAAATGAACGCTGCAAAGCCCAACGTTATAAGGAGAGCAAACTGTCATACGCATGAAGACAAAACACACGAATATCGAATTTCAGCCGCCATCAAAGCATGAACTGAATGGGTTTCATACAGTATTTTGCAATACTTTTGGAAAACACAGTATTGCAGTATTCTTTTTCGTTTCAGGTGTCACACCCTTCGATGAAACAAAAGTGGACAACCATACTCAGCAACATCTTGGTGTGAAAGCAAAGAATCAGGGCTTTCATAAGGAGTGGTCGTATACAAAAGAATCAAAGTTCCCACAAATACGCCTAGAAGAAGAAGTACATCATGGTTACACACCCTTTCACACACTCCAAAATATTTTCACTTCTCTGACCAGGAACCAGGGTGGGAGAGTGATCGTCAAAATAATAACTTCAAATATTTTTGGATGATGACTCACTATCTAAATTAATACAACAGTTTTAGGGAATCATGACATCACGCATCTTGAGTGAAAAAAACTGTACTAAAATAGGTATAAAATATAATGGCAGTGATTATTTTGCCGTGAGGAGCAATGGTCCTGCTAACGTTATTTTGCAGAGAACGTCTCTGATTGGTCACTCGCCAGAGCAAGTAATTATGGGCCAGTTGTGAATGGGCTATTTTACTGTGATGATATTAGGTTGGCCATGATTTTTTTAAGCTGCCGTGCTACGGTTCAACTTGCCTCCGGTTTTCGCTATTAGGGCAATGTCAGTTTGCTTGTTTTCTGTGTTTCGTAGTCATAACCTTCCTATTTTGTGTGTGACACACACACACACACACACACACACACACACACACACTGTGTTATAATTAAGAAAAGTTCAAGAGTTTAACCAATATTTTTTTAAACAAAGTTAAAGTAATGTTGTTATTAGGAAACACGAAGTTACTAGACAGGTATTGCCTTAACAGCCACAGCTGCAATCGGAGGCCGGTTGAACCGTAAACACGGCAGCCTGAACCTATTCACGGCCAACTGTACTGTACTACAACCACTACTGTCTGTAATCACGGCCAAAATAACCCACTACCATTTTTTATGGAGCAAACGCATTCAAACTTAAACAGACCAAAGCATTGTAGGTACAACTTAAGACACGACTGTCGCTGAATTATACGATAGTTATGAGTTCGAGTTGATTTAACAGATATACTTCAGCCTCTTAAGTAATGTATTATTACTGTTTTGTTTTGTAACATTACCGTTATCGCAATTGCGCAGACGTAATCTTTCAGAGTAATAAGCAGGCCTTGGTAAACACAGTAGTGACCTGACAAAACTCCGAATACCTTATACGTGCTTTTGGTGCTCTACGGTTCGATAGCATGCTTATAGAACATGTCGATCTTAGTACAACCACTTTGCCAACTCTCATAAAGTTAATCAGAAGTTGAGCATCAAGACCATAAACAAAAACACTGCCGGGGCGTTAGCTTTCAATGAGAGGCAATACATGCCGACAAAAATAACGACTGTCTAAGGGACTACAACGAACCGTGACACTGGTGTTAAAATGCTCGATAATTAGTCTGAATGCGATACACAACGCGAGCGAGATTAGTTTGATGGGTAATCTAAACAAATACATTATCTGTGCATTAGCAACTCGCATTGAAAGGAACTCTCTTCTAACACCTTCAACTTGGCTAACTTCGTGCCCCCTATGTCGACATAGGAGGCCAAACGCGATTGAAACGGACATTTTGGAAACTTGCCTGATAGTTTGCGAGTCTCTTGCCTCTTTTACTGAGGTTACACCATGCGTTTGTGTCTAATGACAGCGGTTATGACAACCGAAGCTAGCCTGTTAGCATGCTAGCTAACAACGTAGTTGCATCATATGATGCAGAGGCCCGCAGTCGACACAGGAAGTGAAGGACACTCATTCATAGTCAATGGTTAAAAACAGCAGAGCAACTCATGACTTCCAAATTGTTTCACACCTGTTCTCGTGTAAACATTTGAAAATCGTGGAAACCGTAAATCAAAATAGTTCAATTGTAAACGAGATACCAAAATATTCAGTGTATACAGAGCGCCAAATATATATATAAAATTCATAATGCAATGACTATTATAACAGAGCTATAAGCAAAACCTACTATTCGCGGTAATAAGACATTAGAATACAACATAAACAATAAAATAATTGTTAAGTTGGACATTATGTTCGATTTGGCCTGTAATTTTCTGTGTTTTAATATAAGTATTTACATGAATTTGATTTTGTGAATTGAACTGCTGTTATAACAAATACGTTTCAATGATAATATAATTTAGTAACACGCAAAATGGCATCCCACTGAATAAATAATACACCAATTATTTAAACTTGATGTACATCATTCTGTATGACACAAATGAATGTAACAAAAACAATGCTTAGACATCCAGTTGGCCACACCCGTGTCCAGGTGTAACGTCACTGGAAAACTGTATATTCAGTGAATGACCTCAAAGCGATGGCACGTGACATATGTTGTCAAGCGTTAAGCACAAAGCACATCTGTAATCAGCGTCACACACAGTGCTATACAGTACTACAATATACTTACCAGAATATTTTTGTGAACAGTAATAAATATTCAAATTCTCATTTTTTGCATTGGTCACTAATTGCAACGCTAATTTATTACTTTGCGTTGGCATTAGAAATGAAAAGTACAGTACAAGTCTGCAAGTAACAGGACATCCAATACTGTATGTTACAATCATTACAGATGGCAGACAAGTAGAAACGCCTCTAGAGGCCACTGTTACATGGTTAACACACGTTTATTTGCCGGAGGAAACCGGAAGAAACCAACATCACGACTTTTCATCCGGAGAGCTGCAAACAAACCCGTTTCTTTTGCATCGTTTGAGGACGACGATACCATGCCCGTCACTTGTGCGTCACTGGGATGCAACAATAAGTTTGTGAAGGGGTCGGACATACGATTTTATCGGTAAGTTTGTCCGGTTTTAATGAGGTAACAATAAACGCATGCCGTGTTTCAACGTCAGTGTTGCTACGATATAAAGACAATTCGGCCCATTCTCTGTTCACATAATCACAGTGCCCATACTTGTTCTATCTGAGATGACACAGCTACGTAGCTATTTTCACGTGTACAAAGCTAACATCACTGTCGTAACAACACTATACATCATCAGCTGGTCGTGTGTACAATTATTTGACCTAAGTACATAAATGTGTACTTTTTCAAATGCATTTTGAATTGAGTAATTAACTTATCACCTCGGTGATATCATTAGATTCTGTTCCGTCGTTTAATTAGCCCAACGGACACTATTATGTACAATGTCTTACTACCAAACAGGAGCATAGCTCACTGTGCTGAAAGGAATGTTCGGTGTTACTCAAACGCAAATGCATATTCTTATTGTTTTTAAGAAATTCAATTTCAGTCATGAAGACAATTGGCAGCTTTATCAGTGCAGTACATCTTCCCTTCCTTGATCTATCTTAATTTTTTGCAATTGTATATGACTGATGACGACCAAAATAAACGTTTTAGATCCGTGGTTCCTAATCTTTTTTTGTCATGAGCAGCCCCTTTTGTTCTCCCAAAGTTGTCCTGTATTTGGCTCCATCCATCTTCCCACCTATTTTAAACATCTTCCCTGGCTTCTTGGCTGCATCTCTGATCAGTGCTCTCTTGTTTGGGCTGAAAGTTGAGAGGGACATTTAAACATTAATTATTAGGAACAACAGACTCAACAAGAATAATATTCAGATGCACTTTAGCAATTTTACTTTCTTTTCATCAGTAATCTGAGTTTTAATCAGACCCCACTTGAGGTGACACCCGGCTGTTTTGATTTTGCCCTAGCTGTACCCTAGTTTCTTGTTTCCCCAAGGAAACAAATTGTAGCACACACATAATTTATCGATGGGTTTATGAAATGAATGAGAATATTTACGTATCATCTTGGAAATAAATTAAGAAATATTTCCACATGCCCCCTGCAATATGCTCACCTATCCATTGCGAAGTACTTCTTAATTATTTTTGTTATGAAGAAAATACATCGTACCACCCCCATCTGTCCCTGCAACTCTATTTGAGAAGGACTACCCTCGGGGTATGCGTACCCCTCATTGGGAAACACTGCATTCAATAACTTTCATGTAGACACAAATGTAGGTTTATTTTTTGAGACATTTATCATGTCATATCAGCAGCAAACATGTCACCATTTGTCTCATGATATTATTGCTAGAAATACTTTTACATCATGTTATATGCATAGGTTTGCCTAATTTCCCCACTTAACAAATGTAAATCAAATTTATTGAATCACAATCCCTGGTGGGGTGGTACAATATTCCTAAAAGCACCGATTCACTTTTCTTCATCTCAGGTTCCCCCTCAGCAAACCTTCACTTTCCGCCCGATGGGTTCAGAGTCTGGGGTTGAGAAACTTCATCCCAACTGCCAACACCTGCCTGTGTTCAGAGCATTTTTCACCTGACTGCTTCAGGGACTACAATGGGAAACAGTTTCTCAGGGAGGATGCTGTGCCGTCCTTGTTCCCGCACGGGCAAGACTCTTCAAAGGTTTTGGTCCAATACATTGCTTCGTCATTCACAATGTTCAAACAAGTCTTCCTCGCGATTTCGTGAAATGAATGACCTCTTTAAACTTTTGGATAGATTGAACTACGAAAACGACAAACAATGTTACTCCCTAAGGAAACCAGCGTCACAAACAACTTGGGACCACAGGCAGAGAGGGACAAAGCGAGAGAGATGACCAATCTACGCAGAGAAAAAAGAGGTGGCGCAAGAGTAAGTTTTCTATTTTGTTTGCTGGTGCCCTTTCGTTTTCTGTCTTGCAGAGGTGTAGCGAACTGGCAGGTTGTCGCCAGCGTCTGCGCCGAGAATTTGTCCCATACTTCGGGATGGGTACCAAGCCTCGAAACATGACTCTGGATAAGCAAAACAAAATGGAGGGATGGAGTTAAGATGAGGAAAATCATCAGTCATGCATATATTTGCCAGTTTTTGTGTTACAGGCGAATAAAAGAAAATGTCAAAAGATCTTTGAATTGTGCCAAATTCATTTGATTCTACCAGACGACTGAGACATGAGGATTTCATCTTGAAATTTTTGTGTATTCAAATAAAAGCATGAGAGCTTCTTCCATAAATACATTTATACCTGTTGAAATTTAAGACCCTTGGATGCATTTTTGGTTATTTAACATAAATGGCTCTTTTAAGCCTCCCCAGAAACTAAAGGCATGTTGTGCATTGTGAACAGCAGCGTGTGGTTTGCGGTCAAGACCCGAAGTCTACATAAGCAGTTCAGTTCATGGATGGATATTATTTATGTATTTTAATTAGCTTATGTGACAAGCTTTTAAGAGTGTGGTGGTATATCCAGCTCCTTCTGCTCATTTCAAATGACTGTTTTTTATTTCATGATTTCATGCTTAAAGATACTTACTTTTTGTTCCAGGGTGGAAGAGGTGGCCGCGGTGGAAAACTGTCTGACAGGTGAGACTCCATGGGTGTAGATCAGGGGTGTCAAACATACGGCCCGCGGGCCGGATCCGGCCCGCAAAGGAGTTTAATCCGGCCCGCGAGATGATTATGTAAAGCATCGGTGTCAAACATACGGCCGGAACCGGCCCGCAAGTAGGTTCAATCAGGCCCGCAGGATAATGTAAAAGTGAAAAAAATGCATTAAAGACACAGAATTAATATTTTTAATCAGGTGCAATTCATTGAGTATCCGCAAGGGGACACTGTTTTGATCAGAGAAGAAGACAACAGCAGCCTCAGTCTGTCACTGAGACAGACCCATGACAGCAGACGCTATCAATAGCACTCTCACATTTACACATTTAATAGCACTCTCCTTAGTTTGTAAGGTGTAGGCAGGGATTACATTTAGATTTTATATGCACGTGTAAATGCTTTAAAACTTGCTTTCTTTATGAATCTTGTTTAATCTTAAAGTGCATTACTATATTTTTCAATACCAATTACTTGTTAAAGTTTGTACAATCAGTGGGATCAGTTGCAATGCATATATGTGAATGATAAAAGTAAATTGCACATTTGTCGAAGGAAATGTAAGGTGCTTCATGAAATGTTTTGTAAAAGATATGTTCATTAAATTTCAACATTTTCCTAATGTTCTTGTGCTTCTTTATACCAAAACAAAGGAAAGACATATTGTTTTGGTTATTATAGCAAAGCATTGTATCATTTTAATGGTCCGGCCCACTTGACATCTACCGAGGCCGTATGTGGCCCAACATGTGAAATGAGTTTGACACCCCTGATTTAGAGTGTTCAATCAGCCTGCCATGCATGTT